AAGTATTTTCCATGTCATTTTTTGGTATTATTCTTTGGTATTTTACCTCTTATGTCATGCTGGTCAATACCAAATTTTAGTAGCAGATCAAAATTAAGTATTCATTAGTTATTTTCTCCTGCTCGGGTATAACCAAGTTGATGACACATATGGTAGCAAATCGAAGGAGACGCATCATACACTATCTCACACATGTATAGGAGAGAAGTTCAAGACCTCTCCAGTCCAGAACAAAGCTTTTATTATTTTTTTCACGATACATATAAGTTTTCTTATAACAATGGTTACTACAGATTTTCCAAACATATAGTCAAATTAATAATTTTCTACAATACTTTAAATGGTGGAAATGGTATTCTGAAATTTCCTTGATCATTGTAGATTGAACCATTATTTAATCATTGTAGATTTAACCAATATGTACATTAACCGACTTACAAAACAGAAATTGTGTTATTTGCAGAAAACTGTTTGGTACGATTTTAAACCAACTCATCAGTAACTCAATGTGTAAGACATTCAAATAGATACTCTCAGCTCACTCTCAAAAGACTGCTAGATCTGTTCAACCATGAAACGACCTACTTTGTAACAATCAACTTGAACGAATTAGTATTCCATTCGTAGCTTCTACGTTAAAAAAAAACAGACAAAGCACTGCCCAGGACTTGTTTTTCCTATTTCGCTAAAAGCCATTTCCTTTGTGGAACGTCACTCATACGTAGAGCAGCTGCAAATTACCTTCACCTTTATTTCGCTCTCTGGCACCTACTTTCTTCGGCGTAAACAAACGTGACCTGCCCCCACTCATCAATAGCCGAGCGATCTGGCGAACGATATGCTTTCGTTCTCATCGCCGCCCCCTCTTCATCCACAGCTAATCCACTCCCATCGCATTTATAATGCACACGGCATGGATAAAGCTTATTCCATTGTTTCAACCCCCACAGTACTTTGCAGCAGCAACACAAAGTCGCCTGTCCTGCTGTTTTTCTGACTAAAGACGGCCCAAATTAAGCTACCCCTCTGTGTGCTGGACCATTCTTTGTTAAAAAAAACAATCACTGTAGCTGCTAATGAATGGGTCACTCTTTCCCTTTACTTTCGCCCAGGTTCGAATTATTGCGACGTAGGACCGAAGATAGTGTCCAACTGCTCCCCAGGACGTCATGTTCTGTTTCCCATACATATAGACTGTACCTATTAATATAAGCACATCATTCAACTAGCCAACACGATTGGTCCTGTCCTGTCGATGCTGATACGATTACCCATGGGTCAACTGTTAACTTCACCGGAATGTCAGATCACCAGGCAACGTGCCAATTAAACACGTGCTTATGCTTATCAGACCGGTCTATAATCCATTTCTCTATAACGGTGGTGGGAAACGGAGCGAGAAAAAACGTGAGTGCACTGTAGGAGATCAACTTCATCCCACGAGAGTTGGGGGTCCAGCAGCACGAATCATGCTGCTGGATGAGAATGCGATGGGGAGAAAAAAGGATGTTTGTGCGATGACTCTTAGTTGGTGGTATCGAGTAGGGTGAAAAAGTGGCGGATGAGAGGATGAAAAAGTGAATTTAGAGAAGAACGTGATTAAAACTTAATTTTCTTTAGTGACACGTCGGTGTTGTTGTTAGTGTTGGGATGTCACATTCAATTTAAAATAAACCAGGATTTATCCACCTATATTCATACATGGTGACAGATGGTGACCCTTCTTACGTATTTAAAACACAGACAAACGGATGTAACTCTTTAAATAAAATTTCCTTAATTATATCGTCACGGAACTCACTTCACTCCACTAAAATATCAAGAACATGTTTTTAAAATTTTTAATTCAATGGATTTTAAAATGAAGGTCCAAGTTTTACCACTTCAGCTTTTCTAATTTAGGTAAAAATTTACCGAACACGAAAACAAAATCTTAGTGTGTAATTGAATGTGTTGCATGATGGGTTTGACACTAATCCAACGATCCACATCATCGAAACGCCTAAAGTAGAACTGGAGTGAAAATGGGTCCATCCAATATTATATTTATTACAGAAACTACATTTACCGTGGGTAGCCAGGCAATGAGAAGGCGGAATCTCTCGCAAAGGTGGGCGCGCAGGAAGGCGAATTGTATGACAGGCAAATTTCACACGATGAATTTTACCATTTAGTGCGTCAGAGTACCTTTTCGAGTTGGCAAACCGATTGGGACACTGGAAATCTTGGACGGTGGTTACATTCAATTATTCCTAATGTTTCTTCGAGAGCGTGGTTTAAAGGCTTGGGCTTAAGTCGTGACTTCATTCGCGTGATGAGTAGACTTATGTCCAACCACTACTCGCTAGATGCTCATCTCAATAGAATAAACCTCGTGGACAGCAACATCTGTCGGTGTGGAAACGGTTACGATGACATCGAACACGCAGTTTGGCAATGTACGGATAATGACGCCGCCAGAGAGCGACTTTTGAATACCCTCGAGGCCCAAGGAAGACAACCCTATGTTCCTATCAGAGACGTGTTGGCAACCCGTGATCTCTGCTATATGCAGTCCGTTTATGTTTTTCTTCAAATGTCTAGTATAAGAATTTAATTCCTTTTGTCTTTTGTCTCTCTTTATTAGTTTTTGTTTGTCTTGTCCCCCCGTCTCGATGAGTGTCATCGTCGCCCACTGGTCACCCACCATAGCCGGTCGAACTCCGGACGAAGCTAGAACAGCACTACCGTTCATACTGGCGACAACGCTCTGATGAAACAACGAAACCCTACCCCAAGCTCCTCCCCTGATCCTATCCTTCGAAAATGTACCCTTCTAACCTCGAGTAAGCCACGAGCAATCGGCCCAACTCCTACTAGACATAGAATTAAGTGAATTTTGTTACACACAGTGAACAATGAATTATCGGCTCCGTAAAACTTACGCGATTGAGCCTTCCAAATAAACGAACTAGATAAAAAAAATTTACCGTGGGTGGATATTTACGCGCACCTAAGGCTCAAGTATGTTTATCTAGATAAACTCTGGAACAGGGGCTTAGTGTGATTCGGTGACACCTGGGGCGGATGGTTTCGGTGTCACCATTTGTGTTCACTACAAACAGCCTATTTATCATTTATACGATGGTATTTAAATACTCGTTTCCAAATATCAATATTATTATTATTATTTAACTTTATTAGGGAAGCTTTCAGCCTTGGGCTGGTTCGCCTCCAAAATATCAATATTTTTAAGCCATGTAAAAGAAAGTTACCCCTCCTAAGTTAGTAAATGTTAAAGATTATAAACCGACGGCTCAAAGGCTGTGGTACGCGTACTCGCAAAATTGAAATTGTTATATCATTGTTTTCACAAATTTTCAATTCAGCTAAAGATACCACAATTACAAAATTCTCAAACGAAATTGCTTAAATGTTCTTTAAATTATATATTACGATAAATTATTTACATTTTTGATCCCAATAGAATTGAAGTGTTTTGAATTGTAACCCACTATTCAAAGAGTTTTCGTACAGTTTTGCAGGTTTATGAAACTTACAAATAAATGTTTCAAATCCTGTAGCAACGGTATCCATTTAATTTTGGTCTAATTAAACAAATTCTTCATATCATATTTTATATATTTACTTTGTGTGTCGAATTGTGCAATTGATCTATTTTTTATGAGTAAATTATGACGCAGCGGCAAATGTCCCTTACCCTTCATTAATTAACAAAATTTTCGTTGTTCAAGACTAATGGTATTTTTACAGTTTAAGATTTCGAAAGCCTTCAAGGCCTCAGATTTTTTAATTAATTTTGATTAACAAAATCATGCAAATTTTTCAAATATATTTATTCTAAAGGCTATTGGCATGTACTATTGGACTGAATTCCGATAAGTAAAAGCTAAGCAATTGTGTAAGAAATTTAGAACTTGAAATAATAACACATCTACTGGATTTTGAGACATCATCGAATTTTTTAAATTCGAAGATAGAAAAAAGCTTAAGATTTTCCATCTTTTTTCACAAATTGCAATATTTAGAAAACCTCCCAAGATATGAAAATAAGATGCAAATTTCAATTTTAAAGTATTTTTATTCATCGATTGCTGAGACAAATATTTAGGATGTCAGACTTTGTAAAATGTCAACATTCTACACGAAACGAAAATTAATTTTTTATTCATGTGTTTTTCACTTTTACATCTCCATTCACTTTTTGAATGGAGATGTCTGCTTATTAGTTGACTTATACAATTTATGAATAATCAGGAATAGAAATTTGCCAAAAGATATAAGGGAATTTCTATCAGTGTAGATGAACCCCTTCATGGGTGATACTCGGGCGAACACACCCCTCCCCCCCTACCACGCTACGACCCTGTTTCGACCGCCGATTCCAGCCTACGTTGTTTATGAACAGCCCCTTTGAACGCAGCACGAGGCTTGCAAAAATTTGAAGCTGAAGGACATAACTTGAAGACTTGAAACATGATTTACAGAAAGTTTTGTCTTCTTTTAAATAGACATTTTCTTTTTTTTTTTAATATATCGTTTAATATATCAACACACTCTGAAGATATCAGTTTGGAAATATGTTACGTCAAAACTCTCTTTGTAGAAACGGGATGAAATCTCTGGCTTCTTCTTAAAAACTAAAAACCTAGAACTGATTTACTTTTCAAACCTGTTGAATTTCTATAAATTGTCTTAACAACTTGGGCATCAACTAAAATACGATTTTTTTTTACCTCGCATTTCGTTGAAATGTTAATTATCTTTTATTTGGTCAGTTTATCAATTTATAAGGATGTTATTTCACTACAGAAAAAAAATTGAACGAAAAGGCCAAATCCCTCGCATTGTTCAATTATAATTGTAATTTAATTAGTCCACGTTCCCTGCTGGTAGAACCTTTCATCGGGTCTTGGAAAATGACAATGTCAATGTCGTTGTTCTAATAAATCGTTTTTTATATATATTTTAATAGTCTATCATATCTTCTGAATGATTAATTAGCATACATCTATATTGAATCACTCCACCCCCGCCTGCCGCCGAAGAATTCACACTATCTGAGCTTCAGTATCAGAAACAGAATAAAAAACACAACCATCACAAACAGAAACATGTAGCACATATAGTTCCGATGACCTCCCTTCCCTAGCCTCACGACCCGCGTAATTGTATTGGACATAAAGCCACCCGTTCGGTCCATATCTTCGTCAATTCCCCGCAGCAGCTTGTCCTGGTATCGCACCTCGTTCCCAATGTCTATCGTCAGCGATTTGAGAGCCCCGATTTTACCCTTCAACTCATCGGCCATCCGTTCGTTTTCGTCCTCGAGGGCATCGTGGCTGTTGGTGCCGTTGCTCAAGCCGCTGGGGCCCGGATTCTGGGCTAGCGGCTCGTAGGCATAGCCCTGAGAACGTCTCATTGTTCCTCCGCCAAACTGCGCCACTTTGATCAGCTAATTTCGACCGGGAACAACCGCGGAGTAGCTGTAAATGGATACGTGTCATTTTCACCGTCAACAGTTAATATTCTTTAAGTTGTTCGAAAGCTTACAGTTTCTGTTTTACTTATTGATAGTATTACTTGCTTACGTGCTAGTGGCTGAAGAATTCTCCAAATTCCAGCGCAAATACAGGATTTATTTTACAATAATCTAGATTAAATTTTTCACGAACTTTCCAATGTTTACATCCATCCATCGAACTATCACTTCTGTAGGAAACGTCACCAACAGTCATCAAACTATCATTGTTCATTTTTAGTCATCATGCGAGGGATAGGACAGTCCCTTCGCTAAATGAAGGCACACGGCCGATGAAAGTTACTCAGAAACCGAGTATAATTCTATTGCTGTTTCCGTTTACGCAACTGATTCAAAATAGACATCAAGTGCACGGATGGATTGAGTTCACTCACTCGACGAAAAGTGACACAACAGCGAGGCCGTGTTTACTAAAAATGAACACATGAATAATGCTCGCGTAACTTTTGAAAAGGGCCTATCAACTTTTGTAAACAACTTCAGGTCCTTTTCACGAGAACCGAAGTACGCCCACGCAAACCAAGAGCACTATAGAGATTGCTAAAGTATGATTGTGTCACACAGCAAAAAAAGTTGTTGAATATTACATCGAAACTGATGCAACCAGGTCAATCCATCGGTTGTGTAATATCACATTGTACGATGTACATCGATTTTGCGAACAAAATTACATCCATTGATGTAATATTGTATCTACTTTTTGCTATTACATCATTATTTCATACATCAGCTTGAATTACGTTGATCGATATTACATTTTTTTTTGCTGTGCAGTGATTTGTTTTCATCGGGAAAATTTTCCGCTATGAAGTTTTTTTTTTTCCCGATGAAAACATTTTGCGTATACGTATACGTATACGTACGTATACGTGACGTGTGAGTACGATAAACGTCAGCAATCTCTATTGGGAAGGGGAGAATTTCCCCTACACGGTAACCGCAAAATACCCAATAATAACTACAAAGTAAGCATTTTCGAGGGAAATTGGGACTACCCAATAAATGAGTAAAATTTTACATGCACACATACACACTAGGGAAGTAAAGCCGTTGGTCCCCGGTTCATGAGTTGATGGGTCGATAGGTAGGGTCCAGGTGTGGAAGCTGCCTCCCTGGCGTCGGTAGCATTGGTGCTCAGCACGGAAAAAAACCGACGGAAAACAAATCAAGGGAAAAAAATACATTTCATTGCACCGCTATGGGTATTTTTTTTTTTCTTTACGGGAACCAAATGAATTCACATTTTGGGAGAATTATTAGAACCTGGAGCCTCATTGGGGACGTTGAAACGAAGCGATGAAAACATTCATCAATTGAGTGGGGTGATATTTGGATTCACCCTAATAAGAAACTCTACACAGCAAAAAAAGTTGTTGAATATTACATCGAAACTGCTGCAACCAGGTCAATCCATCGGTTGTGTAATATTACATTGTACAATGTACATCGATTTTGCGAACAAAATTACATCCATTGATGTAATATTGTATCTGCGTTTTGCTATTACATCATTATTTCATGCGTCAGCTTGAATTACGTTGATCGATATTACATTTTTTTTTGCTGTGTAGATAGAGCTGGAATAAGGGCCAATGTCGCATTGGGCTTGAACTGAGAAAAATGAATCTGAAATTTTGAACAAGAATAATTAAACATTGAATAAATTATAAACCCATATCAAAAACTGAACTATTTCTAATTATTAGATTATTGGTTAGCATTATTGTGAGATAAATAAAAATATTATCATTGTTGTCTACATGTTGCATGCGCCTTTTTTGATTTATAGTATCTTGTATCGCCCGGCTGCGAGCACAGAAGCCATTTCGCCCCTATGTTTCGCCTGTTAGCATTTAACATTATATGTTTCGCCTCAAATTTTACGTTCTTTTCCTGATGGTTTGTTTACTATCGACCTTTTGCAGTTTGTTGGATTTGAAAGTAACGAGCCAGACGGGCTACGTTGAAAACCCCTAACCCCTGGTCAAGCCACGGAGGTCGCCTGGGGTGGGCTTCATCCGCCTCTTTTATGGGTTAGCTCACCTTTTAATTCTCAGGGTCGGCCACCGACCTCTGGAGGACTCAGAATCAACCGATCACTTACCTTACACATCAACAACTAACCACCGAACGGACTACAAACCCTCATCTGCCGAACAGGCTGGCTCTTTCGAAAAAAGGAATATTAATCAATAGAGAGAGAATTTAATCTCAAATGTTTATTTGAGCCGTTCTGTATAACCGTTGCAGCGCTGGGTCCCATTGGTGGTGGGAGTCGGAAGGATGGATGGGTGATGAAACGTACCTTTTGCAGGGTTAGCCGAATAGTGCCGGCGGGCTTCAACGGGTGATACAAGTGGCGACGGCGGCGGTACTTTCAGCAGCGGCGGCCGCAGGGTTGCTACGGCGGAGATGTGTGCCGTCCGTATTTTTGCCACGTGGGTTCCACGTACAGTGGAGTCGGTCGAATCCGCTCTGGGACCGTTAACGATAGGTCCCCAGCGGAGGTGGTCGGGTTACGGTTAATCTGCCTACACGCTAGGAAACGGCGTGCCGTGCAGCAGAACGGGTGCGTGAGTATGGGTGGATCTTCTGCTATGACACCGTAAAGCGTGGTGTTTAGCAGACCTCACAATTGCGGACACTTAATGACGAACTGTACGCACTTTATTTGCGTTACTTGTTAAGTAACCGATCCAATAACTCATGATTTAACTCCTCGAAGCGTCACTTGCACCAAATCGACCGAACTACAATCAACAATCAATACGAAACTAACGATTTTAAATTGGCTCACCACTTTAGTAGCCTATTGGTCCCAAGCAAACGATTAACGTACCCTATTCTAGTTGAAATTCTATTACTACACTATGTTTGTTTTGATTCGCTATGAAAGTTTGACAGATAACATCAGGGGTGTGTGGATTCATGCAGAACATGCAGGGGTGAGTGAAATAGCTTGGGACTGCTTGGGACCGTTGTTCTGGTACTGAGTGAGCCAAAAATAATAATGATTTTCTTCGGGACCCAGTGGTCTTAGAGTTACCTCTATGCTACAATCACTTTTTATGAGGAATTTTTATATAGACTTAATTGTTTCCTGGTCCCGACAAGAGTGATCGAGGCCTTCCCGATCCACTCCTATCCAAGCCATCCTTTTCTCTTTCATCCCATCCTCTTCTTTTCACTCCCGGATCCACTGCTGATGTGATGACTCCAATTCCCTTTTTGATCCGCATTTATCCAACAACGGTTTTATCACAAACGAAGTGACAGACGGAGCGGCTCTAAAACTTTGGTGACTAACCTGCTATTGCAATTTTTCAGTGTACCACATGGCAACACCACTACTACTGGATTGAACCACATGGCAACACTACTACTGGATTGAACTAGCATTTTCACCAAATGTACTAGAATGTTTTGGTTCTATCTCTTTCACTCTACTCAAAACTGAAATGCATAAAAAATGACAAAATGATACGCACTCTTTGCACACTGTCAAAGAATCATTGTACACAAAATCAACTTTATTCAAATCAAATTAAAAAAAACTAGCCCATCTGGTGGATGATGGCATAAGCTTCCAAGAAAATTCTATTACAGTGAACCACATTATTTAAATGGATTTCTTCGCCAGTTAGTCGTATGTCACTTCGTTTGTGGTTTTATACCACTTCATCTCTGGCGGTGGCTCCATAGTAGAATTAATTTTGAATTCATTTTAACAATACTAGGTATCTTATTTATGTTTTTATATTTATGTTTTACTCGCAGTTTTCTATTATTTACAGGAACCAGCCCAAAAGGAAAAGTTTTAATTAATATCAAAATTCAAGAATACTTAATAAACAAAATGTAACTATAAATTCGGACAGATGACGGTTTATTGTTCCGGATTCTCTAAATCGGTATCATTAATATTATTATTATTATTATCTCTATTTAGGAGATTTTTAGCCGCAGGCTGGTTCATCTCCGGCTAAATCGGTATCAGATTCCAGATAAATTCAAGATGTTTTCGCTTATTTTTCATGTATTTCGATCAGGTTAACAATTTTTCCTTTTGATTACCAACCGGTAATTGCAAGGAACAGGGAAAGGATTGATATTATATAATTCGCCTTGTGTTAAGAAAATATGTCTGTTTCGCCCCATCTACACAGCAAAAAAAAATGTAATATCGATCAACGTAATTCAAGCTGACGTATGAAATAATGATGTAATAGCAAAAAGCAGATACAATATTACATCAATGGATGTAATTTTGTTCGCAAAATCGATGTACATCGTACAATGTGATATTACACAACCGATGGATTGGCCTGGTTGCAGCAGTTTCGATGTAATATACAACAACTTTTTTTGCTGTGTATGTATATAGGAAAAAGCGGTCGTAAGAGATAACTCAATTTGTAATAAAAAAATTGGCTTCGTCCTTGTTTTTTAAGGATGTACATTATTTTTCTAAAAAAAATTATATCGTTTTGTAGCATTTTAATAGTAGTATAACGTGATGCATTAACCGCATTAACCTCACACTCAAAGATAAATCAAATAAAAAAGCTTTAAAAGAATGCATATTCCCGCTTCACCTTATTGAGTCCGACCCTAATAAAAAATAACCTTAAACGAACGATAACCCAAATCATTGAACTATTCCACAAATGGTTTGGATGATACCCAGAACACGTCGTTAAGCAAATTAACCATACAATTTTTATTAGGGGAGCCATGATTACTTCGGCAGTAGTCATGCATGATTAAAATCGAAATAATCTTTCCAGTATTAAATTTTAGTCTTTTTCAATACTGATATATAATCAAAAAAGACTAAAATTCAATCAAAAATTATTAAAATAGAATCAAAAATGATTGAAATTTATTCAAAAAAAGATAATCTACAATCTAATCAACCATGATTAAACTAGTATTAATATCAGATGCTTATATATTTTTTTTTTGCGATACCAATTTTTTTTTATTACAAAATTAAACAATTTTTACTACTAATTCTTAACCTAGAAAACAAAGGCAAATTTTCCAAAAACCTTCCTGTAAAAGACTCTTTGATTCCATCTTCGGCTTCTAAGCATGTTTTTGAAAACGAAGATTGAAGGGTTCCTATAATGCTTCATATTGTACATAATTCCTTCAGTAGCTAGCCATAGAGCCGCTTTCAGCTCTTTACATTTTTCTCCTATATGTATAGTAAAAATTTCAGTAGCACTTTTGAGTCTAACGTTCATCTGATTCCTGATTATTTCCTCAACCCAATTCCAAATTTCACGAGATAAATTACAATCTTTGATTCTATATAGATTTGTATCTAGTGCATTACAAACATCGCAATTCTTTTCCGTCTGTCCTCTCACATTATATTTGGACAACTTTTCTTTATTTGGATAGATGTCATTCAAAACTTCAAAAAGCATTGACTTGGCTTCTGAACTGTACACATTTTTACTAAAGTTTTCCCACACAGTGACCCAATCAAAATCAGGGAATTTTGCCTGAATTTTTGGAATGTGAGGTTGTTTAGCTAACAAGGAACTATATATTAGAACAACAGTATTCAAGTAAACCATATTTTTATATTGCTTTGCAATATTTATCCAATTCGTAGTGTTACGAGAAAGTTTATGTGTATATTGGCAGTTCAGCAGAAAATGATCGGGATCCTTCAACATGTTATTGGAGTCGAATAAAATTTGCTTGATAAATAATGCTTTCATTTTTCCTCCAAATTAACTAAGGCTAGACCACCTTTTTCATAGGCCAGATCTCGGGCCAGATAAAGTTGATTGCAATCTACTTTAAAAATTTGAGAACCCCAAAGATATCTCAATACATTTTTTTTTTAATTCCTCTAAATGTCGTTTCTCAGGTGGTAACATCTGTCCAATATACCATAGTTTGCTTAATATAAAAGTATTAATGATCCAAGTTTTTTGAATAAAATTTAAATTTCTAACTTCGATAGATCCCAGACTGCATTTGCAAGTGTTTATCAATCGTTCATAATTTTTTCCAATCATTTCTGTCCAATTATTAGTTATTATCATTCCTAAAAATTTTAACTGTTTAGCTTCTATTATTCGTTGTGGTCCTAATGAAAAATTGTTTATCCGCAAAAATGCTGATTTATTTACATTTAGTTTGATTCCAAATGTTTTACCTTATTCATCAGCTATGTGTAATACCTTATCAAATTCAACATCAGATCGAATAATTATTGTTACATCGTCTGCGTATGCTACAATTTTAATGAACTTATCATCAATTAAAATACCTGTTATCGAGTGATAAACTTCTCGTATGAATGGTTCTAAGTACAAAACAAAAAGAATCATTGATAGGGGACAACCTTGTCGCACAGATTTTTCTATTTTAAAGCTATTTGTCAAGTGACCATTGAAAAGTACACTAGAGGAAGCATTTATGTTTAAATTTCTAATACAGCTAACAATCTGATGTGGAAAGTTATAAGCTTCTAAAACTTTCCATAATTTCGCATGATCCAAATTATCAAACGCCTTCTCCATATCTAAACTTAATATTGCTGTTTTAAATCGTTTTGACCCATTTGCTTTTGCTATAACTGTTCTCAACTGATCAAGTGTATCTATACAAGACTTGTTGTTCACACATGCAGTTTGCGCTTCTTCTACAACTTTTCCTAAAAACTGCTGAATGCGGTTGGCAAGAATTTTGGTAAAAACCTTGTAATCACAGTTCAGAAGGCTAATAGGTCTAAAGCCCGAGATGTTTTTAGAACAACCCGATTTTGGTATTAATGTTATGTATCCTTCGCAAAAAGAAGAAGAAGGAATAACATCGCCATGCAATAAATCATTAAACAGTTTAATCATATCATGTTTTAACAGATCAAAGTGCTTGGTATAAAATTCATAATTAATGCCATCTGGCCCTGGTGTCTTTTTCTTGGTGCAACTGAAGACTACGTCCTTGAGCTCTTGTTCGTCAATATCACGTGCAATATTTAATGAATCCTGGTTGCTCAATTTTTTATTGATATATTCAAGTGAACCGTTGTATGCCTGAAGCCGCTGCTTTTTGAAGTTGTTGCAAAAATGATTAAAAATGTACTTTTTCAATTCATTTGTACCTCTAATGATATCGCTACCATCGAGCAATTCCCCAATTGTTAGACTTTTTGAATTTTTATGGCGAGCTATTACTTGATAAATATTAAATTTTTCATCATTCATTATACTGTTAACTGATAACTTCCCTTCTAGATTTTTTAATTTTTCAGTTTCAATTTTGTAAATCATTGCTTTTGTAAAGTTCATTTCCGTGCTAACGTCTTCATCATTGTTTTGCAAACTTGATAGTTCTATTAGTGTTTTATATAAATCAGATTTCCTTTCAGTTATTTGACGATTGAATTCTATACTTTTGCTTTTATAAAATTGTTTCACTTTAGATTTAAAATGATTTGTCCACCAACTGTGGAAGCTATTTTGATAAGATATTCTGTGCTGTAAAACTTCGTATTCAAAACAGAACTCGTTCTCAATGAGATCGTTATTTATGAAGTCTGTATTAATCTTCCAATACCCTTTTCCGAAATGATGTCCTAGATCTGTCTTATTAATACTTATTTTCATTGCAATAGCCTTATGGTCAGAGAATGGTACACTAGATGTTTCAAATGATACAACTGATTTTACAAATTTCGAAGAAACGTAAAATCTGTCAATTCTAGAAGCAGATTCACCTCTAAAAAATGTGTACTGCACAGATTGCCCTTTAATGGCTTTTTCAATATCTTTCAGATCTAAACTTGATACTAATTTTTTTAGGCTACCGCAATAGTTTTTTGTTGATCCTTTTGTGTCGGTTGCATCTAGAATACAGTTGAAGTCACCTCCAACTACATGGTGCATCACATCGGATTTGTTAAAATGAATCGCAATGTTTTCGGATAATAAAAGATCTCGCTCTTTTTTATACTGGAAACCTGCATGCCCGTACACATTTATGTAATTTATACCGTTAACTTTTACTGATATTATTCTTCCACTAGGGTCACCTATTATATCATCATAATCCAATCCTTTCCGTATTAACACGGCAGTTCCTTGAGATTTTCCCACATTGACATGTGAGTAAATAAATGAAAAATTTCGAAAAGCTACCTCCTGACAGAAAACTATATCCGCATTGCTGTTTATTATAAAGTCTTTTAGCAGCGAAAGCTTGACCCTTGTCTGGATAGCATTAAGATTGATGCTAGCTATTACTCTACTGTATAGCATGACAGTTACGATTTAGCTCTTCGATTACCTTTGACTGACGACGATCTGCTTTTCTTACTTGCCTGACTTAGCGATTCCTTGGCCACTTTTCCGAACAGTTTCTCGTTAACGGGATGGTCCTTCGAGTCTCCGTTTCCTCTTTTATGCCTTCTCATCTCTTATTTTAGAAAGAGAGGATTAATTTTTAATCATTCGATATGATTAAACTGAGTTTAATGTCAAATTGATTTTTTTTTCTTTATTAAAGAGACTTTCAGCCTTGGGCTGGTTCGTCTCTACAATGTCAAATTGATTAAATTTCAAGCAAAATGGGAATAGTTCAATTTATCAGTGCAGTTCGTTTACACTTGCGAAATTAGCCCTTATTCCAGCTCTATCTAGATCTATATGTTTTACAAAAAGATGTTTCAGTGTGGTTAGCATTCCTTCTCCTCGGAAAACAAACAAAAGCGAGAAAAAAAAACATGTTGAAAAAAAGAAAACACGCTTTCAAAACATAACAAAAGAGAAAGCAGTGCTGCATCCATTGCTGCCTGGATTGGTGCATAATTTTGCATTTTTACCGAATAAAATAGCCGAATAGTTGTAAGATAAAGTTCCATAACATTTCATGTTTGACTAATCTGGTTTTATAGGCACGTGTGCTCATCGCTACCGGTGCGTCTATTCTTGTCACAAGCATTTGCACTTGCACTTTTACATAAACTTACTGCATAGTGGGAACGTGTGATTGTATCAGTGGGCATTAAATATTGATTTCTCTTTCAGAATCATGAACGAAAGTACAATTTACAAGATACTTCCGGTGCTGCTATGTGCCCTGTCAATTCCGTTGTCCATGTTCATGTGGATTGGAAATATAGCTTACTCCAAACTTGCTAGCGATAATCAAGGTAACGTGGAGGAATTGCTATTTTGAAACCGTTATGCAGCATTCTTCTTCAACAGATAACGTGATTCCCCCGACAAGATGGCTGTTCTCCATCCTGATGCCGATTCTGCTTATGCTGTACGGACTGAAGCGAAAAGGGGTGAACAAATCCGGTGCTGCGTTGGGACTTCTATGTGCCATCATACTGTCCATCTCCTCGCACGCTTTCCTTGCCTGTTTGGCAACATTTTTCTTCAGCTCCAGCAGGGCAACAAAATTCCGGTCACATATGAAGCGGAAAATCGAAGAGGATTTCAAAGGAGGTGAAGGTCGACGGAACTGGGCTCAGGTTATCTGTAACGCCGGGATGGCTACACAATTGGCTTTATTGTATTTGTTGGATTGTGGCTACGGGGAGCGTCCGATCGATTTTGGCCAGCTTTACCGTTCGAGTTGGTTGGGAGTTGGAATTATGAGCGCGTTTGCTTGCTCGAATGGAGATACGTGGGCAAGTGAACTGGGCACGGTTTTGTCGAAGGGAGATCCGTTTTTGATCACCAGTAGGAAACGTGTTCCACGGGGAACCAATGGTGGTGTGTCGTTTATCGGGTTGGTGGTGAGCTTTTTGGGTGGGCTAGCGATAGGGTTGTCCTACTATTTGACAATTCGGTACACAGTTGATTCAAAGATCCTTTCGCACAGCCCCAACCAATGGCCGATCATTGTGTTCGGGGGAGTGGCTGGCTTGGTTGGTTCGATTGTGGATTCCGTTATTGGTGCCACGCTGCAGTATTCGGGAATCGATGCCAGTGGGAAGGTTGTGGAGCGACCCGGCAAGGATGTCCGGTACATTTCTGGAGTGAGAATCTTGGACAATCACAGTGTTAATCTCATTAGTAGCATTATCACCGCACTGCTGATGCCAACCGTGGCAATGCAATTTTGGAACATGTTTTGACGGAGGAAAGGTCCTCAACTATTAACTTCGTGGCATCATTACTTTATACCTACGATAGCGTAGCTTCTTGTTTGACGGGCAATGTGGAAGAAAATCTCTAGTAACGTTTTATGTGTATGAATGACGATAGCTTTAGGTTGAACAGCCACTAAAACCAACTGATAGGTCTGTAATATATGGTAATTTTTTGCAAACTATTTAGTTTTATCGATGTATTTTTCTAGATGACATCCCCACTGACTTGAGAAAGGAATTTCTTTCCGTTACACACACACATACGCAAAAACAACAAGCTTTCATTTACTAATTATCATTGAATCTTTCTGGAAATAACTGCTACTTAGTAACACACAACATCGTCTTCGTAAGTGTAAGAATGAGAAGTGTCCTTCTCATGCCACTCATTTCTAAAACTTGGATCGCTAAGAACTAGGTATGTGGGTATGCTAATCATCTGTATTTGAACTTAAATTGTTTGCCTTAATTTTTGTATTTTTAAAATGTCATCTCTTACTGGCTACGCTTTCGCTAACGATTCAATGAGTTAAGTTATACATTTGCGATCAAGAAGTTTAGCGAGAGAAACTTAAAATAAGAAAAAAAAAATAAACGCTCATTACGGTAAAGATGATAACAAACTGAAATTCTTCATCCTCAATTTATATAGACAGCATGAACTTAACTGCTAAAATTTCAAACCATTTATGACACAATTATAATATAAATCTAAGTATCTACATACCGTAAAATGTGTTCAAAAATATTTTCCTATGCACAATTGACGGCCTCAAAAGGGTGAATCAATCCGCGCCACTTCCGACTCCCACCAGCAGGGTTTACTTTTTTCGATTTTCTGCATTTTCTCATCCTAATAAAACTTGTTATTGCACTTAAAACTATTGAAAAACACTTTAAGAGCTAACATCTAGTGGCTTCGAGTCGGAAATCGTTCCACATTAGAGGTAAGAAGCGATTCCTTTATCATGGTTTGAAATATTGCTAAGAGAATACTCTTACTTTGTTGCTTTTTCTTTCCAGACTGTTGACCTAATCGTACTTCTAAATTATATGCTTTTACCACCATTTAGCAAATTTTAACTCTAAAAATATGTCTACCGAGCTCCCGAAAGGCGCCCTCCGTTCCATATACAATCGCATACTATCCTAAAATGTACACACACTATGCACTACACACTACCGATGTTAGGTAAAAGTAATCTGCGCACAATTTATCTTATCAATAGAGTTTGGAAAAATCTACAATAAAAGAAGCAACGAAAGCATCTCTACATTATATGTACACACACAAACACACACACACACATACGGGAGCTGACGCCTAGGTGCTTAGCTCTTTTCCCGTTTCTTGAAGTTCCGCTTGGAAGCGCACCGCTGGATGATGTCGGAAACGTGCGTCTTGTGGTCGAAGATCTTCATGATTTGCGTCCGTGCCTCGTTGATACCGTCGATGATTATCTTGCTGCGTTGCATGTTGCCCTGCAGATTGGAAGTATTCATTAGTTTTTGGGTTTTGGTTAGAAGGAGAATTAGTATTAGGTAGCTGTGTTAATTTACCTTCAGCAGTTCATTGATGCGCTCGATTTCGGCGGATGGTTTCGGCGTCGCTTCCATCGTTTTCAACATCTGATCCAGCTTGTCGTACGCTTGAGATTCTAGCTCGCACTGCAAGTAGATAATGCAAAACCAAATTCCTAATGATTTATCAACGGAATAATCGACAACGAAGTAAGCAAAAGGTCTTCAAATCGTGCATCGTGGGATTTTTAACAAGCATAGTTCATTAACCAAATATTTTAAAGTGGAATAAAGATTGCAACCTATAATAGATTCCCGATGAAAAATGTTTTCTAGGCTTAAGTTTTTTTTTTTAAATGTTCGATCAGCTTTCAGAGACACTGTGTGAGGAGTTGAACTAGGGGAAATTGGGGGAAAATTCGCCAATGGTGTAATGTTGACCCCAGCTTAAAAATCAACTTATTGAACATATTTTAAACAAAATCTGTTTTCGAAGAAATGTTTACTCAGTGTACTCGTAAAATGAGTAAAAATTTCATCGATTTCGAGGAAAATCGAGCGAAACTATATCCTTGAATATGAGGAAAATTGATGACATTTTTACTCTGTTTACACGGCGAATGAGAACGACCCAAATTTGAGTTTAGTTCACTCAAAATCGTCAAAAGTGCAGGAGTAATTTGCCTCATGGTCTCCTATGGAAAACCTCAAAATGCTACGGGAAAATGAGGAAAATTGACGAAAATTTTACTCAGTCTAGGAGTAGTACCAATAGACTGCGTGAATCCAATCTTTACTTTTCTCATATTCGGGATGTTTTTCCCGCAAAAACATGAGGAAAATTTACTCATCGCTGATTTCCTGCACTTTATGTAATTTGAGTTAACTAAACCCAAATTTGTGTCATTCTCATTCGCCGTGTACGACTACATATAGACCGAGTAAAAGTTTCATCGATTTTCCTGATTTTACAATTTTGAGTCGAAGTCGACTTACATACTCTTATATAAAATGGTTTCATCTATCAACAAGATGGATTGTACAAGAAACCGAAAATGGTAGCCGCACTTACCAAATCTTCAATCTGCGCACTGAGATGATAGATCTTCCACCCGTTGACCTTCTGCAGCACGTGCGACTGATTCGCAATGTCCACCATGGTGGGACGCCGTTCCTCACGCTGCTTCACGTCGGTATATCGCTGGAAGTGATTATTCGCCGCTTTCCAGCTCTGTTTGTACGACTGAAATGGGGGGATCAATGGAACCGGTTAGGAAATCAAAATCGAATAGAATACAAAGAGATCAAATACCAACCTCCAATAAACTGACGTTCCTAGGTTTTCGCGAATTGGCAATTGACGTAGCATCCTTCGCCGTTGCAACCGTCCCATCTTTCGGGGCACTCGTTGATCCCTGACTCAGTTGGTTATCATGTTTCACAGCATTTGCGGCAGCCAAATTATTTACAACAACATTGTTGTTCGGCACTATACTCACAGTTCCACTGACCTGTGTGGAATGCGATTGTTGTTGTTGTTGTTGTTGTGGTTGCTGCTGCTGCTGTTGTTGTAGTTGTTGCTGCTGCTGCTGCTGGGAAATAAATCCCGCTTCTACTATTGCTGCAGCGGCCGTCACTGTAGCAGCCGCCGTGGCCAAATTCGTTGGCCCCGAAATGTCCATCCGGTAGCTGTTATCCAACTCATTGTTTGCATAAAACTGTAAACTATTTGCAACGGATTTCAGCCCCTCGGAAACGTTCTGTTTGCGGGGTTTCTTCCGCGGTGATTGCTCGTAATTCCCGTTGCTGCTTCCGGCAACGGAATTCTGATGCGGCAGCGATCCATGATGGAACGGATGACCCAACGCTTGTTGAGAATCCTGATTTGGCGGCTGCGGTCCTTGGAGGAAGATTTCCTCGTTACCCAGCTTGAATGGCAAATCACTATTTGCATTGCGATTGACAAATGCCATTGCTTTGATTTCCTCTTGCTCTTGCTGGTCGGCTCCTGGACTGGAAGTGGCACTGACCGTTGTGGATCCATCGGTGGAAACTGGTCTTGACGGTGGAGATAATTCGCGTTCCCGCTCCCGTTCCCGTTGTTCCATTTCGCGAGCTCGTTCTTTACCCATGGCGATAAGCGTATGCGTGAGATCCTTACTCATCTTGATGGGAGGAGATCCTCCTCGTTTGCGTAATATACTGGACTGAGGGGATTCAATTTTACCTCCAGGATTAACCGGAATCAGCATGTGGGATGGTTGTTGTTGCTGTTGTTGCTGACCGGAGGTAGTCGACGATCCAGTCATGATGATTTGCTGTGCCTGACCGCCATCGACGAGCAGCTGAGGGTGGAATCGGACCGGCACGGTTTGGATTTGCGTTGTCGACTGTTGAGATTGAGATAGAGACTGCGATTGCGATTGAAACTGGCCACCGGAAGCTGTGGATGAAGATACAATTCCGTGAATTGGACCAGCAGAAAGGTTTCGTCCCGACGCCTGTTGTACAATGGCGAACGATCCCGCTGTAGATGAGTATGGCAACGACGGTACGGTCGTCGTTATGACGTTGGATGAACTCAACTGTCCACTTGAAACTCCGGAGATAATAGTTCCAGAACCACTTCCGGTAGGTGTGCTCAATGCGCTGGAAGATATCGAAAAAACCGGTCCACTGATGGCACTGGCCGTAGTAATCGTCGTAGATGTCAAAGAGGAAGCACTTTGAACTAATGCAATAGCTCCGGAGCCGGAAGTGGCAATCGGTTGACTTGACGAAGCTGGTGAAGGCGTCACACGTTCGTAATAAAGAGTGGATGCTGGGAAAATTGTTGCACTAGAGCCTGAACTTCCTCCGGAGACGACATTTAACGTACTGGACTTTCCAGTACTGGCAACGGTTGTGACGATAGCACTCTGCTGTTGCGGTCTGGTTTGGATATACAGAGAGGTTCCCGTGCCGGAAACCGAGTACGGAGCTGAACTGCTCACGGCTTCAATCGTGCTCAAACTGCTCAGCTGCTGTGGCGTAACTTTTGCAATCGGCAGAATCGATGGCATGGTAGAGGCCGAAATTCCTGGTCCTCCGCTTCCAGCTCCACTGGTAGTGGTTCGCACAATTCCGGTTATAGTACTTCCGCCGGAAACGATACTAATCGGATTTTGTCCAACGGACAGTCCGGCTACGGATACCGGAATGGTCGTAGCGTTTCTTCCCCCAGTGATGGCCAACGGGATAGGGATAACTGTCGTGGAGCCAGAACCTCCGGAATTCGACACCGAAATGGTTTGTGGAGTTCCAATCACCTGTCCCTGGCTCACGGTTACAATCTGCGGTGCCTGTCCGGATAGACCAGAACCCATCGATCCTGGATTAACATTTACGATCTGTGTAATTTGTCCTTGCGTTTGAGATTGACTACTTCCGCTCCCGGATTGATTGGATAATAGATTGCCAGTGATGATGGTGGATCCGCCACTAACTTGTCCAGAACTTACGACTATCTGTTGACCGGAAGCGGTTTGGAGGGTTGTGGTACCACCGCCCCCACTTCCGCCACCCGAATCTTGACTGATTGATTTCGAGCCGGAACTGTTCTGCACCTGAGAAGCGGCCACAGGCGTAAGTTTGCCTACTTGTGCAATTGTTAAACTGGGCTGGATGCTACTGTGAGGAATACGATTGTTGCTGACAATCAGCGGTTGAATATTCACCAGGTTGGTCGGCAATCGGCCTCCGCTAATGATTTGCCCACTCTGAGGATTCTGTACTTGGATGATGCGAGCTGGGATCGTGTTGGAGATGTTTGCCGTGGAGACGGCTGAATTGCGATTTTGAGTTCCGAGAGTTCCCGGAGCGATGGTCGTGAGCACGGTGGTTGGCGCAAGCACTGGAACGCTAGGAGTACGGATACTAATGCTCCCTGCCGTGACGCGAACTCCAAGGTTCGTTGTCGGGAGTCGTTGAATAGGGCGAACTCCGGTTGGGCGTTGGGGAGAAAGTGTAGTGGCTAGAGTTAACCGCTGTGGGTTGGTCCCACTGCTGTAGGATTGCTGGGAGCTGTTGTTCGTGTAGACCAGTGTCGACGTAAGTTGCCTTTGTGGGGGAAGGACTGCAGCTGCTAGCGTGGCCACAAATGCTTGCGATGGGTTGCTTCCGCTGAGGGATACATTCTGCTGATTGGTTTGGGTCGTTGCCGGGTGAGCTACCACGTTGGCCGTAATTGTGGCGTTGTTGACATTGGTGGATGACTGATTGGCGGAGATCGTTTGAGCCACTACTCGAGCACGAGGAGGTTGAGTGATGCTGTTAGCCCGAATAAGCTGAGTCGGAACTTGCACCTGTACATTCGACATCCAGGTTTGCCCTTGCGAAATGATGGTGGCCGACGGTGAGGAGGTGCGCGATGGAACCGATTGACGTACGTAGGTGTTGATATTTGCTACGCTGATCGGTGGAGTAGGAATACGAATCGGTGCCGTGATGGTGGCTCGGGGACCTTGAATGCTCGCTACCGTGGTGGGTACCCGCGCGGGGACATGATACGTCGTCGGTGTCTGAGGACGCGAAACCGTGATCGATGTTTGAGTTCGTGGCGGTAAGGCCGTTATTTGCGTACGATTGGATGAAGGATCTGAAATCATAAGAACATAATTTCAATAAAACTTGCTCCAGACAGGAAAGCTTCGCAATTCTGTACCCATCGTGTGCACCGTTATATTGGAAGGCAATTATCTGCTGCAAGCAGCACAATCAACAAAAACACTTATGCTATTAACATTTAATCATTTTTCTTACTACGACCTGCTCACTTTACAATTCACAATGTGTACACGCACTTTTTTTCCATAATGACGGTGCAGGCAGACAGACAGGATCGAAGGCGAATCATTATGTAAAAACGAAAGCAAATCCCCACTCCCACCATCCGAATCGAGCCGAGAGCCAGCTGATGGTGATGATGGCCTGCCAGGTTGGTGGTGGAAGAGGAGGTACTCACCTGGCTTCAGATTGATCGAGTGTCGGTAGAACGTCTGCGAGGCGGCGTTGCTCGGAATCACTACGCGCATCTGATTGCCGGCCGAATTGCCGATTCTGTTGAGGTGTGAGAAATGGAAAAGAAAACAAGCAATTAAATTTTATCAGGTCGCACACACGAGAATGCCAACACGGTGGCGAGCAAAAAAAAAATAAACTCGTGATAAGCAGAACAAGTGACAATATTTTTGTTGTTGTTGTTGTTTTACTTTTATGGGAAGATGGCACTTATACGATTTTTGGTCATGTATTTTTGCTTATCACTACACGCTATGGACCGACTGCACTGTTCTCCGGCCAGTCGCCGTCGTGTATTGCTTCTTTTTCTTACGCTGTTGTTATTTTGGGACCACCACCAATAAAAGTGGCGAATCAACTTCGAGCACATACCACTGTATACTGTGCAGTGTATCATTTTACTGCTTCTTATGAATGGTTCGAGCGGGTGTGGGTGTCTAATAGCGATCTTATTTCACCAATCCCATCAAAGATTGAATTATTGACTGTTGTTTTCAGAGCAGTGCTGGTAAATCAGAGGGTTTTGTTGCTTATGGATGTTTTGTTCACGAATGCAATTAAAAGCTGAACGAAATTAATTACCCCATATGACATCCGCTCGAAGTAGGTATGTTACAACTAGTGTGTAACAGGGTGGTAAGTGAATTTCCATTATAAAATTCCTGTTTTTTTCCTGGTTTTCCTGGTCAATGATTTAAAAATTTCCTGGTTTTAAAAACCATGGTAGCCGTTCGTTAATTGGGGCACGACTGCACCCCAATTATCGAATGGCATTCGCTAATTGGGGGGTGTCGACAAGTGTCAAAGTTGACCGGGGGCGCTTGACTCGTTTGTTTTGGTTTTCAGTCTTTCGTCTGCTTAACTGATGCTGTGAGCAGCTACTTAGTTTTTGTCTTGCGTGAGTGTAAAATGAGTTATTTCCGGCGCTGGTAAATATTTGTGCATTCATACGTTGTTTGTAATGTTGTAGCAATTATCCTCCTGAAATTTGTTCAGTTTTCACAATGGAGGGAGTATCAGCTTCCAGTTCCGGAGTGGATAATAAGCAAGTCGTGAAACGGAAGCACACTACGCTTACCTTGGCTCAGAAGGTGAGAATAATCGAGGAATTTGAAGCAGGAAACGGTTCCCACGAAATATTAGGCAAAAGGTTTGGTGTCGGAGCATCCTCGGTCGGTCGATTTTTGAAAAATAAGGAGTCAATTCGGATGAAACTAGAAAAATTCAGAGAACATGGCGTGGAAAATCGAAAAACGATGAAGGAGCAGAATTTTCCCTTACTGGAGGAAGCGCTTTCCCTATGGGTTTTGCAACAACGTGAGGCTAATATTATTGTCACATTGGATGTGATCAAGGCCAAAGCAGAACAACTGTTCCAATGCTTTCAAGATCTTGGTGTTTATCTGGATCTTACTTTTTTGATTTCGGATGGCTGGGTGCGCCGTTTTAAACAGCGTTTCGGATTACGTGTTTTGGTGGTGGCAGGAGAGAAAGCTTCCGCGGATAAAGAAGCGTACCTTAAATTCAAGGAAGTGCTCATGAAGAAAGTATTGGAAATGAATGTGACAAAAGCCCAAATTTTTAATGCAGATGAATCAGCACTTTTCACCAAGCTGATGGCATCACGCACTATCGCATTATGGGACGAGACAGTCGCTTCAGGACGAAAGCTCAACAAAACCCGATTCACATTCATGCCGTGCTCGAACATGGATGGTTCTCTCAAAATGAAACTGATGTTCATTGGGGTAGCCGAGAACCCCCGTGGATTTCCTCGCGGCTTTCAGCAATCATTACCGGTATCCTACTACAATTCCAAAAAAGCTTGGATGACACGTCAGTTGTTCCGTACCTGGTTTTATGACGAGTTCATTCCCGCTGTCCGGAAGTTCTCTGCTGAGCACGATTTGGAACCGTCAGCGCTTTTGGTTCTGTATAACTGTACTGCTCACTACGATGGATGCGATGATTTGAAGAGTGATGATGGATTAATTCAAGTGATGTACCTTCCACCAAATGTGACAGCAGAATGCCAGCCGATGGATCAGTCGGTGATCAACGCAATCAAAACTAGGTACAAACGGAAGCTGATGCTTAAGCTTGTTTTGGAAAACGAAGATTTGCCCTTGGAACAACGGCTGAAAAATGTGTCCTTACGGCTGAGTATTGATTGGATTGCTGAAGCTTGGGACGAAATCAGTCAGGTTACCATTGAAAATTCCTGGAAAAAGTTGTTCGATGAGTTTCCAGGTTGTGAATGGAGCATGTCTGAACAGGCGGAGGATCTTTTTGCTGATTTCAAGTCCCTTGTAGCATCAATTGATGGCATAGCCGGAACAAACACAACCGACGAGCAAATCCAGCTTTGGCTTGAGGATCGAGTAGTAGATTCCAATGGTACAACAGTTTCAATAACCAGCGAAGTGTTCAGAGACGAAGAAATAGTCAGCGCAGTTTTGAATAAAGCAGACGATTTAACTTTCACGGAGGAAGAATGGTTGGATACCACCCCGGAGGCTTTGAACGGAAGTGCCCTTGCTACTGAAAACGAAGAACCCGAAGACATCGATTTTCCAACCGCGATGAAGTCGCTTGATAACGTGATCCAATTCGTACAGAACAATCCCGCTCAGACTTTGAAACTGAAAACCCTGCGAACTGAATTGCTGGAAGCAGAGTGGAAGAGACGCAATCTGTAACTGTTTTGTTTTAATTTGCTTGTTTTATGAATTAAATTGATTTTTTACAAAAAATATTTTGTTTTTCGTTATTTTTTATCAATTATTGAAAGACCCCCCAAAAAATATGACATCAAAACGTCAGCATGATTTTGACATCTGATTTTGACGGATGCCTGCTTTTTAATTGGGTCGCGCCCCAATTAGCGAACCCCCAATTAAAAAGCGCCCCAACTAGAAAACCCCCAATTAGCAAACTTCCACTGTATTTAAAAAACAATTTTTAATAAAAAAAAATAAAGTGAATCCTTGTACCATCAATCTTTGCGCAATGCGGAATTTCACAAACCAAAGTAGGTATTAAGGTTCTTATGAATTGCTGTAAAGAAGCTAGTAGGGAGCTGCGCTACTTCGTCGTATCATGGCGCCTATTTCCGTTCTATGTGGTAAAACTATAATAGCAAAGCGTTTTCACTCATGTTTTTGCAAAAACATCTTTGCTTACAAGATTAATTACGATTGACACTGAAACATTTGCGATAACCCGTAAAATGAGCGATTTTAGGGATGTATGACGAAGAAAAGCTGAGATACGACGGACCAGCGCGGAGCCCTATCTAATGTCTGAAATTTAGAGATCTATAAGCCCCTTAATCTTGAGATTTCTGTTGTTGAAACTGCGATTTTTTTAACTTTAATATGGTGATTTTTAGCCAACGTTTATCTCAAGGTGAAATTGCGAAGTGTGATATGAATGAGGACTCTTTAAACAAACCCTTGCTTTTAACAATTATACGGATTTCATGTTTGCTTAAATTTTCCGCAAATTGTCAACGATTAGGGATCTTATTTAGCAAAATTTTGATTACAACATGATTTCAAAATCATATGATTAAAAGGTTTCATAAACAACGCTGGTTTAATAACTCTTATTATTAAAAAAGACCGACTGCTGAAGAGAAACTCCCTAAAGTTCGTAGAACTTCCCGCTTTCCTGAAGGGTTCATTGAAGCCTGTATTGCCTGAATTTCATGGAACTTCCCCGAAGTTGAAAGCACTTTTTTTTAAGATCATTGGATTTCCCTGAAGTTCGGAGTTTTTTGAAATTCATAGGAGTTTCTTAAATATCGTAGAAGTACTACGAAATTTGTAGAAATTCTCAGAAGTTCGTAAGACAAAGTTCGAAAAACTTTCTCGAAGATCTGAGGACTTCCCTGAAGTTTGAAGGACTCAACTGAATATATGAGGGCCCTAAATTTAGAAGAGCTTCCCTGGAGTTCATAAGGCTTTAAATATCGAAGGGTTTTTCAAAAGTTTGTGGGTCTTTCCTTAATTTCTTGGAAATTCCCTGAAGTTTGGAGAGCTCCCATGAATTTCGTAGGACTACCTGTAGTTCAATCGACTTCTCGGAAGTTCTAGGAACTTTTTTGACCTTGGAGAACTATGTTAAGTTCAGAGGACTGTCCAAGAGTATTGAAGACTTCTCTGAAGCTCGGAAAAATCCATAAGTGTCATAGGATTATCCTTAAGTTTTAAGCAATGCCTAAATGTCGTAGAAGTTACATTAAATCTGTAGAAAATTCTGTAAAATTCGTAGTCATCCCCCAAAGATTAAAGGACTTTCCTGAAGTTCGTAAGACTTCTCTGACATTTGTAGAACTTCTCTGAGGGTTCGGAGAGATTTCCTGACCGTCGTAGGTCATCACAGTAGTTCACAGGATTTTCCTGAAATTTGTAAGACTTTCCCGAATGTTCGAATGCCTTATCTGAAGTTTTTAGAAATAGAACTTTTTTATGGAACATGTTGAACAGGTACTTCAAAGTAGTTACGCGTTGGCACTGCTTAAGTCTGCTATCAATTAAGCACAAATCATACATGCAATTGATTCTAGAAAAAAATTAAATTAAAAATAAATAGAAAATATATTTACTAAATTCTCAGGGTAAATTTTGTTCATCAATGTTTAGTTGTGTGAAAGATTTAGCTTGAACAAAATGGTTAGTTTTGACCTGATTATAAAAAGAAACTTTGACATACATAAAATTTAAAACCAATTTAAATTATACAAACAAGATTATTTTCCTGGTGGACTTATGAAATTCCTGATTTTTTCCCGGTTTTTCCTGGTGAAAATAAATTCCCGACTTTTCCAGGTTTTCCTGGTTCACTTGCCACCCTGGTATATGTATATGTTCAATAGGGGGAAATGGCTCTGATATTGGCCGATGGATTTAAGTTTGGGCCCATGGCTAAAAATCTGCTATTTATTAATTTTATCTAGATGAACGCGTCATTGTCCCGTACTAATGGATATTTTTGGTCGCTATTGAAAATTTAGTCGATTACTGAATTTATGTATG